TTCCCGATTCACATGTTCTGTGATTCTGTTATGATATGCAGTAATGTCAAATGTAGTGTAGACTTCACAAAGCGAGAAAGAAATAATGTATTAAAACTGAAGAAAATTTCTCAAGTATCTGTTCAAACTACTGAAGCACATTATGACAGGTTGATCTATGGGAGCTGTCATTACCAACACGAATATCAGATGTGAAATACATAATACAGTGTATTTTTTGTAGTAGTTATCTCTGATCTGTGTTTCCTCTATTTTAGTAAAGGTTCTTAACATGGGTGCATTCAATGTAAAATCTTCTGAATTGTATCACTGTGTAATATTGGAGGAATCTTCTGACATTGGAGAGGAACTTTCTGACTCGCAGATCATCAGTCTGGAAAACTGTGTTGTTTATAGATTGCTGTGAAAAACCTCAAAACAGACATGGATATTTTTCTTTTTAAGTGCAAAGAACAGACTTGAGTGCTGTGTAATCCAAATGGTAAACATATACTCTCATCTTTTTAGTGTAATAAAAATTAGTGTTTATTTGGCAATATGACTTTGTTGTTTAGAGACTGATTTGGTCTGTACTGAAATTCTGTAAATCCTGAAGTGAATTAGTTAATTTTATATGCCATCTTACTACAGAAATAATGTTATTTTATACCTAAAACTGCATTGCATTAAGACCAAAATGATTATGAACTGTAAATTGGCAAGGGAAGTTGTGTAAAATTATCTTGCCTTTCACCTGGATGGGCTACACCAAAATGGTGACCAGCCAGTTTTCTTATAAAATAAAACCCCTAAAGCTTGTTTAGAATACTTGGTTTTCTGTGTGCATGTATGTCCATCCCGTCCTGCTGTGCTGGAATTTTGAGAGTTTTAAATATAGTTTTAACTACCTGAATTGTCAAAAACTGAAGTTTTGTATGACAAATAATATTTATTTTGAAATGGCCAGTATCTCAGTGGCATTTATTTTCACAAAATCTCTTCACTGAGAAATACTACATTATGTTTTCCATTTTGTAACTTATACAGTGGAACTGTGTTAAGATATTTTCTAAGGGACCAACACATTTAACTTCTTAAAGTTGAATACATTTTGCATGTGTGAATAAAAAAAATTTTTACCAAATAAATTTTAGCCCAAGTAGAATACTATCCAGATAGATGTTAATAGGTTTAATACATGCATTGTTACATGCCACTTAGAGTGATTGCATTGAAAGACACTGATATTTAAACTACAATGTCATCTTGATGAAAACTTTCCTTTTTTCGTTTTTCATTCAGTATGGTACCCAACTCCATATCTTAAGAACCTAGTACTTTGCATCAGTCTCATAACTGCTTATTTGATATAAGTAATGCCACTAAGAAAATGGGGGAAGGTATGATGATGCAGTGCATCTTCATATGCTGGTGTCACTCTGCAGATTACCTCACTTTTATTATATAAGTCATCAGCCTCTTGCATTTCACAGTGAAGAAGGTTGTCATCAGCTTGTACATAATTTTACATCATTTTTATATTCATCTGTTTTTGAACATCTTTGCAGATACTGTACTTTGTCATTATCATTATGTTCTTGTGTTTTGTTAAACATTCTCTCACCCGGCCGCAAAATACAGATGTCTGATGATAAGCTGAATTCCAGATAGCATCCAACAACAATGTGTAATAGTATTGCCTTTTTTAGCTGTGGTGATCCTCTGTAATAACGTGCATACAAAATCTTTGATTATCCCTGGTCCATAGACTGCAGAATAGAAGTATTGGGTGCTGGCAGAAACATAATAAATAATTTAAGCTGTCACTGATCTACAAGTATAAATATGTTCTGGTTTAAAGTTTCACTTGTTTTTCTAAAGAAGTTATAAACTACAGAAAAATTGCTCAAAGAATCCATTTATATTGTCACATGTAAGTGATTAGACATGGGGTTTGGATTTATAATTGTATTTATTGAACAATTATAACTCATAACTACAAATAACGATAAGAATCTCATTGATTTACACACTCTACAGATCACTACAACTGCAGCACACATACAGTCTTCTGTTTGTTCATTAGTCGTTGCTAGGTAGCAGCTGCTAGTAATGCAACTAAAGACTTGCTGATTAACTGACTGCTAAATTGCTGTTGGCCCTCACCAACACAGTGATTCTTGCTTCTGACTACCACGGGACTCATGACCATACTTTGCTGTCTGATAGCTCTGGGAGCCTTCAGACTTCCTTGGTGTATAGCCTTAGCACGGACCAAGTACAGAACTCTGCTTTGAACAGTTGTTATTTTTGCATGTTCATTAATTGCTGCAGAACTGATTTTGCCATGCTGTTGCTCAGCAATGGCCTCATGGTCTCTGCATAATTTCATGAATTTTTCAGTTACAGCATTTCATGGTTTTCAGTTAATACTGTATTCAGTTTCAATACTCAGTGTTTCACCGTTCTTAAAAGTAGGGTCCTGTATTAGCATATTTAAAGCCCATGGTAAGACAGGTTAAATTTTCACATATTTTGAACTTCATGGGCTCTTGCACCTAGACCTTGCTATATAATCGATTTATGTAGTACATTTTTCTAGTTTATCAGTATAATGTTCATTGCAGATTGTGTTGAGCAGTTCAGTGATATGGCATTTCAATGTCTGAATAAACATCTGCAATTTTGATGTTTTGATTTTCACCGATTGGTAACAGCTTGTGTTCAGTGTCAGTTATCGCAGCCCTGTTACAAACTGAAATATATTTGGTATTTATTATGTGTAAAAAATACACATAGCTTCAGTATTCTTTGTCAGATGAAATTCAGAATGAACATCATTTCTATGTAACTACACATACCATATGAGAAGTTCCAGGGTAATAGGTAATTAAATATATTACTTTCATCATAAATAAAATTGCTAACTCATGCAAATCTGTTGTTCATATTCAGTTACTTCTTTATGACCATTCTGCTTGCAAAATATATGACAAAAATCATATTACATAAGTAAAATGTTCGAGTGTTGAGAGGTTTGTCAGGCAGGAAACCATCTTAAACACATTCCACTGTATATTCATGTGGTATATATTTTTTTAACTAGAAGAGTCACTCTGTCGTATATACCATGCATGCAGGAACATTTATGCAACTTCTTCCTTTAAAAAAATTTTATGTTTTAAGAAGATTTTAGCAGACTTACTTACTTATGGAGCTGAGCCCTTCTTGAAGGGAAGCCAAATCTGCAGCTACTGAAGAATTTCCAAGCATTTTATGGAACCCCAAGGTTCATTACTGTGTTCACAAGAGCCCTCCACTGGTCCCTATCCTGATCAATCCAATCCACAACATCTCATCCTCTCTCTCTAAGATCCATTTTAATATTGTCCACCCACCTATGCCTTGGTCTTCCCAGTGGTCTGTTCCTTCTGGCTTTCCCACCAATATCCTATATGCAGACTAAATGATATAATTATCAAATATTTGTTTTGTTTGGATGTCAGTTGTTTTGTCATTTTGATTGTATTTTAGTTATATTTGTGTTCATTGAAATTCTGTGTTCTGGATAGTGCCTGTTACATGTTTCTTGCCATATATATACTAGTCATTTATTACATATTTATATTTTTTTTCCATCTCAGAATTTGCTTAGTAAGCCAGGTTTATGAATGTGTATGTATAAATGTGTGAAGTTTGTCATCATGAATCTTGCGTAGAAGTCATTACTATTTGTAGAAGGTTGATGTCAGGTGAGAGAATAGGCTTTGTTTCCAGTTGTATATCATTCACACTATATCATTTCATTGATGCTTTTATAAATTATGTTAGTCACCTATCCAATAGTAATGCTCTTCTGTTGTAAAACTGAACTCCACCAACTGTTCCATAAATCCGCATCTTGCATATGATACCCATGATGTAGAATTTGATGATTTACATGCCTTGAGTGTGAGGAGGGTTATGGATCCTGTGTCTTATGCAAATACAATCAATTTTGAGAGATATATAAGGCAAATACTGCCAGCAGACCAGTAATCTTCATTTTGAGATACTGCTCCTGTTTCACTGTCTCTTTAGCTGGTCAGGTAAGAAAGGTAACAGCCCACAGAGGCAATGTGCATAGCAGAAAAGCTGTGCCACCACTTAATTTTCATCATTAGATTTTAGTTCTGTATTTGCAACTTAGGTTGGATTTGAGGTGCTCACAGTGGTGACTACGCAGAGTAGTGCCTTCTGGGATGTGATGCCATGTAGTCTGGTAGAAGTCCGCTGAGTTTTGGGAAGCATATATTGGCCCGAAGATAGGGGCAGTATGTTCCTCCCAGAATTCTGTGAACTGCACTGGACTACATGGCATCACACCTTATAAGATAATACTCTTCAAATTAATTTAACTTCCACAGTTCTGTTTCCTTATTTCAGACTTTTAGAATGGAGTCCTCTTCATGGCTGAGCATATTGTAAAATGCAATGCACTTTCATATATTCAATTCGGAAAACATTGTGTGATTTGTAAAATATAACATAAATTTTGTCTTAGCACATTTTAAGGTGAAATGAATATTTTGAAATAAAGATATATGTATATAAAGTACATCATATGTTCTTGTTTCTCTCTTTCACACCTTTTCCTGGTGCTTCCACTTTGGATCATAAGGCATTCATGAAACGCTTTGTTTCACGTGTTTCTTAATCCAAAGATTCAGTAGGACTCCTTGGATGTGGGATTAGCCTGTCACAAGGCCACTACCTAAACAGGACAACAGAAACACAGACAGAGATCCATGCCTTGAGTGGAATTTGAACCCACGAACCAAGTGTTTGAGTGACTAAAGACAGTTCACATCCAATAAATTCGTTTGTGTATTCTGTTCACACGCACTGGATGAAATAAAGCTATCAGTTGTTGGAAACTAACCCCAAAAAGTAAACCAATAGTTAACTGATAAGACATTCTTTATCACAGTCAATTTTCGTTGAATAAACATTGAGCGACTTTATCCATATCTCAGTTCATTCAAATATGAGCGTGTCCTTCATGGTTAAAGAATATTCTGGGATTTTGAAAGAAGCTGAGCAAGGTATAGTATATGTATAAATTTTTTTTCTGTCTATAAATTTCTGCTCTATAAGGCTGTTAACAGAGTATGTTTACGATCATATACAGATGCTATAGAAAGTGTTATGCTGATAAGATATATTGTCTCTGCAATGCAAAATCTGTTCATTAAGATTTCTCTGCTTGGAGGACAATCTAACTACTGAGGTGGATAAATAATTATTTCTTCATGAAAACTGAAGGAAGAAGGAAAGTCATATTCATGGGAAACTGGATTAGTTTCCAACAAGCCTTTAAATTTCTTCAGAGGTGATTACTATATATAACATACACTGAAATGGCAGGAACGAGCTTGTCCTTTTGCGTTTTATTTTCAGGTATTACTCCTTTATAATATAGCAAGGTTGTATCATTAAACACATTTTTATAATACACTGTATTCTGACTGTTATTAAATATAAACCTAATATATACTTCTACTTATGGATGGACCTAGGGTAATGGCCCTCAAATTTTTGTGTGCAACCCCCCATGAAACAGTTAAACAATGTCTGGATCCCATGTGGGGGGGGGGCCTTAAAATGGACAAATTAATTTTTCAGCATCTTATAAAAGAACCTTTATAATGGCATATGTACAGCCTTGTAATGAATCAATTTGGGAAGGGCTTGTGGTACCACTAGGTGTATGGGTACCACAATATAAAAAACTCTGGACTTAGGTATGGCTATGAATTGTGCTCTTAAGATCTCAGATTCAGTTTGTTCTGGGCCAGTGCAGTTATCCATTTTCCTTCTCAAATTCAAAAATATTATGCAGAAATGAACTACAATTTAAGAGTAGGATATGAAGTACAGTAAAACTTGGTTATAGCAACATCGGTTTCTGCGACACCTTGTCTATTGCATCAAATATTCAATGGTACGAACTAATTCCTCATAAAGCAACTGTTTTTATACCTTGCTTAGTACAACATGCACAGATGCATCAACCTCGTATGTAACGTCATTTTCATTCCTGAATTTCTCTGATATGGACATTGAACGTAATTTAGAAAGTGTGTATTGGGCAAGTAACAGGAAACAGATGAAGATAACTGATTACTGTACTCGTATCTAGGTACAGTAAGGCACAACAATTGATGTAATCTACTGTAATTTGGTGAGTAGGCCTACCTTTAATATACAGTATTAGTGCGGTGTGTATTGTCAGTGAAAAGCGCTGTAATATGTCTTTGATATTACACATTTGGGCAATTCCATGTTAATGTTACGTTAGTCTGTACTTAACTACGTATTTCACTAAAAAATGCAACATTTTAACTCGGTTTTTGGTAGATTTTTACGTGACTAACATAAGGCTACTGTGGAGGTGCCCATTTCGGTTACGACATTTGTTTATAACGACACTATTTTTAGGTCCCTTTGATGACGTTATAACCAAGTTCTACTGTATATGGTATATCACCTTCTGCCAAGTGGTACTCTGATGTCCAAGTCATGGCAGTATGATTATATCTGGAGTGTAAGAAATGCCATATAAATTTAGATCATGTTATGTGGAGTTTATTTGTAAAATTTTAGTTTCATTCATTTAATGTATTAGTACAGATATTCTATACAAGTTAGTCAACTTTGAAACAATCATCCACAAGAACTGAAGACTGAATCTTGGTTTCCTTCTTTACAGAAGTCATGGAGTTTGTAACTTTCATTATAGATTGAAAATGACAGATGCAGTTCATGTGTTTTTCTACATATCTGAACATACAGCTATGTGTTTTATGAGATCTCATAATGGCTCGGTTATAGAGATGACCTTACATAAATTATCACAGATTTGGCCCTACTACAGTGAATCTCAGTTTCTGGCCTGTAATTCCACCAGCATCAGATCAGCATGCACACTTGTGCAATTATAATTTGGAGGAAGGAACTTTAGAATAATGTAGCCCAGTATACAGCGTCTAAAGTAATATATTATATGTATATATTAAAAGTAATGTTCTTGTACCTAAACACCATACTGTAAAGGCCCAAGAGTGCGTGGAATTAGGGCTTCACATATTATATAGAGAGAGCATCTAAGAGCCTGCTGCTATAGTGCCTGGATAAAGAGGTAGAAGAAACAGGATATGTGCACCCACTCAGGCTTGCAGCACAGTCAACAAGCTCACAGGCAAACAAATCACAAACAGAACCCACCCAGATCACTGCAAAAGTCAGAAATGCTCCCAGTTATTCATGCAGTCTTGACATGCCATAAAAAGTTCACATTCAGGGACTGAAGTTCCTTGCAGGAAACAGAGCAAACTTGAAATTTTAAACATTATTTCTTCTGACATATGTTTAAGGGGTTTTCATGGAAAATATTCAAGCATACTCGTATCACCAGTTTCATCTACGTCCATGATATATAAGCAATGTCCGTCTTTTAGTGCACTCAATTTTACTTGTTACTTCACAACAGGTTTCGGCACTACAGTGCCATTATCAGGTGCTCTATTTACGTCAATCTATTTCATTCTTTGCCATTACGTCATTGTAAAATTTAAAAAGCATTTAAAAATGTTCGTCAATTATAATAAATACATATACTAAAAACTTTTTAAGACTATTTATCTTATCTGTCCCAATTCTAACACCGTGCATAGTTTCACCACTATAGGAGTCGTTCCTCTTATTCTCAGGGTATATCGTGTCTCGTGTTGCATGTTCCCTGTTTGGTTGCGGGTGTTGTAATGTTGTGAAGCAACAAGTAAAATTGAATGCGCTAAAAGACGGACATTGCTTACATATCATGGACGAAGATCAGTACAACAGGACGCTAAAATACAACATTATGAACAGTTTCATCTAGTTTATTTTCAGTCAGTGATCATTGTTTTGATTAGTTCCTTTTGTTGCCCAGTCTTAACCTTGTCTGTCTTAATTTATTTACAATTGTATGAGTAGTTTTTATCTTTGGAACTGTAACAACCTGAAATTTATGCCAGAAATTTTCCTTGCTTTTCATATGGTTTTCATATATGAACACTCTTTCAATATATAGTTCACATGTGGCATTTTGATATTTAATACAGCAGTAGGGGCTCAGGATTGTGGTTGAAGAACATGTAACACATAAGCTCAGGTCATGGTAGCTGTTCAATGATTTACTGGGCAATATTGAAGAGAAACTGTAATTTGTATAGGTTTGTTGACCAAATCATGAATGCCAACACATGTAGACTGAGTTCATGTAAGAAGAGTATCTATTCTGCCTGAGTAAGCCAATGATTTTCAGCAGGCTGAGATGATATCTGTATTTACACAGCCGGGTAAAGCTGTCAGTATGCCAGTAAAATAAAATGTAAATTATTGAACATGAAGTCGAACAAAAACAATACAAACACAATAATGTGCTAATTATACCAGATGTGATTAGAATCTAAACATTATTAATCATACAAATATTAAAATAATGAAAAAAGTTGGTGTATTAACCTTATGTCTTCTAAGCATTTGCTGCACCCAATATAAAAAGTTATTAAAATTCTGTATTGAAGCATCCTGTTGCAAGCCCTATTAAAACGTCTATGTATAACACAGTCTGTCAATAATGCAATAAATTGTGTTCCTTTCTCTTCTATTTATACTTTCACATGTTTCGACCTTAGATGGCCATCCTCAGGTGTCTTAATATATCAAAATTGCTACAATGCATTAATATGCAGTAAAATCACACGCTGTGGTGCACTTAATATAATAAAATCCATTAAAATTTTCATCACTTTGGTGAAATTTTGTTGAACCTCACAAGGGGTGTCATCTGTTGTTTGGAACTAATCATATATGTTACATCTCCAATCTGTAATATGCCCCTTGTTTGTGCGTTGTTCCCTCTGCAGCATGTGGTGGTGGTGGTGTTGTTGTTCGTGTTGTAATCACAAGACGTGAAGACAACACCATACACTGCTAGAGGGACACCTATTAAGACACCTGAGGATGGCCATCTAAGGCCAAAACATGTTGTGTTAAAGTACAAGAAGAAGAAGAGAAAGGAATGATTTGTTGCATTAAAGACAGACTGTGTTATACATAGACGTTTTAATAAGTTATTAAAAGATAATGTCCCCAGCCACATAATAGAATGTACTGTGACATGTTGAGCTATGGATGACGCCTCTCCCCCCCCCGCCAGCCGTGATGCGCCGAGCAAAGCCGAAGTTAGCCGAGTCCTAGCATCCTGGTCGCTATGCAATGCGAGTCAACAGCGATGATGTCACCAAGGGTACCGCAGGTTGCTAGGCAGCGCGGGGAAACAGGATTGCGAGAGACGATGGTAGTAACAGCGGTTACTACCGCTAGCATTGCTAGCAACACAGCGCCAGGCAACAAGAGTGCTTATTACGTGGCCGTTTTCTGTATTGTCCAATCGAGGCTACATGAGGAGCAGCAAAGGCTATTCACAGTGAGTCCTGGAGCTACCTCCGAGTGAGTCCTCGAACTACCTCTGAGTTAGTTCCGTACTAGCCAGCAACCAGCCAGTTGTATTGTGGCATTTGGAGTGTACTATTTGTGATACTGCAGATAGCAGTAATCGTAAATCTGTAATTTGGGTGATTGTAAGTGCGAATGTGAAATAAAATTCGCTACATCAAATACGGCGTGAATTTATTTGTCGTGATATATGCCCGATATGCGACAGTACTATACAAAAAGAAGACAGAAGGTGGAAACGATTGTCACTAAAGAATCAGACATCTAATGACAGAATAAAAATTGAAAGCAATAAAAGAAAACATTCTGACAGTTTAAAATAAATACCTTACTCCTTAAAATGCTATTAATGCACATAGCAAACCCCTTTAGATTGGCTCCCAACAACATTCTCTAGAAGAATGGTAACATTACATTACTAACACAGCGAGCCAATACAGCTAACAGTAGAAGAAATTTGACGAATCCTATGAGTGGTCTATTGCAGTAACAAATGCAAACCTACTTGCAGGTTATTACAGTTTGAAAGATCATTTCTAAGTCATTTTAAATATCGAACAGTGGTTTAAACTAGGTTTCACCTATTGTTATGTATGTATACGACTGTATCACATGTACGATGTTCAGTTTTATTCATGTTTTATTGTATTTTATTGTTAATTTTAACCTAAATCTAGTCTAAGTTTTGTCTAGATTGTGAACTGAATAGAAACTAATTAGTATGAACCATTCAGAAAAATGGGAACGTTAGTGTTTCAGTTCAGTGATAGCATGTGAGAACTTGCAGCACCTGAAGATGACACATTGAGATCGAAACATGTAGTGCGTACTATATAAATAAATAAATAAAGATATAAATATTAGAGCATTGTTCTTAAAAATTATATACATGTCCACTTTAAAATGCTTTCCCACTTCTTTGCAAGATCATTCTCACTATTAAAAAAAACATCTTTAACATCAACAGCATACAGAGAAGTTCTGAAAGTGATGGAAAGTAAAGAATTATGATGTAACTTTTCATGGTTGTATTTCTGTTAATCTCAGATCAGATATTTATTGATTATAAATACCGTTACAAAAAGGATATACCTTTCAACTTATATATTTGACACAGTGAACATGGTCAGAAAAAAGAACATTTAAAAATGTGACTTCATAATGAGCAAACAATATGTTTCTTGCTTATGGTTTATTAGGTTGCAGTGACCATTGAACACTTAAAGATGTGTGCAGTGATAATTGTATACATTTCTATCTTACCCTTACAGCTGTATCCACTTCAAATAATGGCTGATATTCTGAGCTATGTAATTTGCCTTTTAACGGGACTACATTCAGTTATTTGTTGTGATCCGACAAGATTGTATATGAGCGAACTGTGTAATCCTCCTCACGACGAGTATAACATATCATGCTCGAAGCAGGTAAGTGAGTTCTAATGTATCAGCAATCAATTCTAGGTAGATTTACAGATGATGCCACATTTTCATAAATCAGCAATTGACGAATATTTCTAACAATTTTGAAGAGATTTGTAGTTCATTGTCTTTGGGATGTGAAACCAAGCAGTTCGGTAGATAGGTGCCATTTCAGAGGAACCTGCTGCTTCCAAAGCCCTCGTACCTATCAATCAAATTATACTGTGTCACATCCCGGAAGATGTCACAGATGATGTCTGAACTGGCCATTGCGGTTAATTCATGTTGTAAAACGAATCTAATTTATCCCTTAATTGGTTGGGTAGAAATTTTGTTGCTTATGACTGCCCACTGCTGGCCACCAAACCATCACATAGCCACCCATTGGATGCTGGCTTATCTTGATAGCCCTGATGTTCGGCATGGCTAGTTGTACTCGAGATACGTAAAAATACAGTTCACACTACTGTGAAGTATGACGTGCAAAAGTGAAATATTGTATAATGGAGAGAAATCATACATCTACAGTAACTTTGTACAACATACAACATGCAGGAAATTCCATAGGAAGTAATATAGAAAACGGAAGCTCAAGCGGTTAGCCTCTGGCTTCCCACCGCAGCGGCCCGGGTTCGATCCCGGGTCTGGTCAAGTGGGATTTGTGGTGGACAAAGTGGCGCTGGGGCGGGTTTTCTCTGAGTACTTCGGTTTCCCCTTCATTCCACCAAATTCTCCATCATAATCACCCGGGCAGGTACAGTAGACCAAACAGTGGCCACCATGCCGAGTGGACCCAGCTGGACTCCACCCCTCATTAAGCGAAAAAAACAACCCAGAAATATCTTGACAGTGCAGGACTGCGTAAATTAATGTAAAGTAAAAGTAAAAAAAAGTAAAGCTATCACTGTACCAGGCTGTGAAGGCGCCTAGGGTTGTGAGACATTGAGGGTCCCATAGTATCTAGACGATCGGCTCAAAGATGGTGCTAAGGTTGTCAGCCTTATGCTCCGGCCGTGCTTTACTTCCCAGGAAAATTATTTAATTAATTCCTGGTACTCATCTCTGTTAGAGGCTGAGTCGACCCCAGGGCCATAGTGCAGCTGGAAGGATTAGGTCCATTGAAAAAATCCAATGACCTCATCAGGACTTGAACCCGTTACCTTCCGGATTGTAGCGTATCCCGTCAACCAACTTGACTTACAATAAAGGGCAATATTTTCCCTGTGCTTAAATAACTAAGCACTATGCCATGAAGACATAAGGGGGAGTGGATGTACCTTGGCACCAGTTGGAGGCATATGGTCAGCTTCATGCCCCAGCTGCTTTACTCCTGGGGAAAATCTACCGGTACCCATTGGACAGAAGGCTGAGTGGGCTCCAGAACACATCTGGATGATGTGAAGGGGAGAAAATCTTACCTCTCAACCATCCAGCACATAGCCAGTCACCATACCAGCTTTGCTATCTCTGCTCCCAATGATTCAATGATTTACAATATTGTCAAAAAATTATGTTTTACACGATTGGTGCTGGACAAAGAGAAATCCTGAAAAAGACATATAATGACTGAATAAAAACTTGCAGCAACAATACTTGATTAGAAGCAAAACATATGCATCTTGATTGCAAAACCTTAAATCAACAACCAAACATGTACTGGCCATATTTACATAATGGTTAGAGCATTCTTCTCACCCTTCATATCGATTATACAATTTGGAGGACAATGTGAACCCTAGTGAGATAATAAAGCTTGCACTCTCTCTCACCTTTCATTTTTTGAAAAAGCTGGCAGATTTTCACAAAATTTGGCAAGACTCCCCAAAACTTACACTTTCTAATTTCCTACAAACTGTAATAACAACATGGCAGAAACACAAAATTTGAGGTGGACTATCATTCGTGTAATTATCATGGAAACCTGAAAAGATATAAGTAAAATATCCCTGAAGATATGCAACGTTTAATGTAATATTTAAATGGAACATAAAACCTGCATGCAATCTACATCTAGCTTTCAGTATCATGGCAACACATAATGAACCATGGCAGCTAGATATCTGAAAACTGGTATGAGGTTAGTTCGTAAACATGCCTGCAAATTCTACATGACATACAGTTTATAAGAAAAATTATATAAATATGATGACAGTGAGAAATTCTGAGGTATGTATAAACCACCATTACCACCACCACCATGAAATAATCTACAAATAATAGCAAATTTTAACATTGGAAAAGTTGAATTAATGTTTTCTCTGCTCACATGATATGAATCTTGTGGGTTGAAGAGTTCAAATCAGTAGAGAAATATTTCATTTTTGTCCACTGTCATACATATAATTTTATAACTTTCTTTCACAAAGTAATATCTGAATTGTAATTTCAGCTTCCACGTAACTTCGGTTATGGCGACTGCACTTTATTTTTTGAGAAAAATACTCCACGTAAGTGAATCTGTGGTACCTAATGAAAATAATTAACAAATTCCATAAACAACACAAAGTATTTCCTGAGCAGCTATTCAACTGTTCAAAAAATTCTGAGTCAGATTAATCTCTCTTACAAGCTGATGCTGTAAAATTTTATTATTACATTTTCTTGTTATTACTGTTGAACTATTATGAGTTATCAACCAAAATAAACACAGTTCATGCATTTGGTTAAGATATATCAAATCTTCTGGATCATTTATTTTAAAATATGTACAGTTATCTGTATATTCCTCCCAATACACAAAGTATTTTAATAAATGTTTACCTCCTTAGGGGTTAAGAAGATACATTAAGAAATTAATTGTGCATTAACTTTCAGTTGTAATTATTTTTTTAAGGTGGTAAAGTGATTTGAAGTTCCAGAAGTATGTTTAATGCTTTATATCCTTATTGATTCATGCATCATAGTCTGTGTGGTAGTAGAGACAAAAGTTAAAATCTGTAACTCATAATCACATACATTTACAGTAGACCGCTTCTTTCAGTTTCCTGTTCAATTCATTATTCATTAATCAGCTCTTACCCTTTGGCACTATATTGTCTGTATTGCTGACCATTGTTAATAAATACCATTAGATAAAACTCCATTTAGGATAATGGTATGTAGATGTCATCTACACAATGACTTAACAATAAAATAAAACAGACAGTAGCGACAGGATTAACTTATTGTGGTTAAATTTTATTCAACTATATGTTTCAATCTTGACAGATCACCATCAGGTTATTCAAAATAATTAATTACTTCCAGAGAATTGCCTTCAGTAATTAAAACAGTAGAAACGATTTGCTATGCACTCCGTTTCATTCATAATTTTGGATGTTCTACTGCTGCTTACAGGTAAAGGTAAAGCTATCCCTGTAACAGGCCGTGAAGGCCCATAGGTTTGTGAGATGTTGAGGGTCCCACATTATCCAAACAATTGGCTCACAGATGGTGGTAAGGTTGTCAGCCTTACGCGCCAGCCACCCTTTACCCTGCAGGAAGATTCCTGGTACTCATTTCTGTTAGAGGCTGAGTTGACCCCAGGGCACTGCTTACAGTGCAAAATAATTTTTATTCTGTGAAGCTACTAGATTTTACTCATTCTCTGTATTTGTTGTACAGGAAAAAAGAAATGCCTATAATATTATTTTCATGGAAGTACTTGAAAGGAAAAATTCAAATTACTTTTTAAAGGTTTTACATAGAAGAAAGAGAATAATTTATAACTTTTTCAACTTATGACCTCTCTGAGGTGGAATCATTGATATCTTTCTACATGTTCATTTTATGAGTTACTTTTATTGTAGAGTTCTGCATTTAGAGTTGTAAAGTTATCATTAATGAAGAATAAAAATTGCTGTTATGATTCATGTTGATTGATTGCAATCTGGAGCTGTGTACCAGACTTCCCAGCCGCTTTTATTTTTAAGACTACACAACTGAATGTAGATTTTTGATGTGATGCAAGAAATTCAGAATTTCCTCTTAACATAGTATATATTACACGAAGATAATATTTGCTTTAGAATGCTTTCCATGTCAACAATTTCCCAAGTATACCACAGTCAAGAATATCTTTTATTGGTTTATTTCTCATTGTCTCTGTTCTAGACCTTTGCACCTTCACACAGCACTGAATGTAGGGAGTTGTAGATATACAGATAAAAGCAGATTATATCATGAAGTGATTTAGTTTGGTTTGGTCATGACACTTACTTCTGCTTTCAGAATAACAGTAACTTTGTTGGGTGTTTAAATTGGACTTTGAAATTCTATTTTCATTGTATTATATGAAAAGACAGTTTTAATTTAAGTGTCTACTGTTCAACATTTACTACAGAATGATTCTACTGAAAGCTGAATAAAACTAATAAACAAAAATATAGTAACATTGCATCTCACTTCATTGACCTGACAACAAATAAATGGAATGCTGTGAGAAAAATAATTAACTATTAATGTTGATGAAAAACAAATGTTTCATGTGTGTATTATGATTTGAGAAGCAGGGAATGTGTATTCAAGCCACAGTAATATTTGTACTCTTTGTAGGATGTCTGTCAAAGAAGATTCCAATACAGGACATGAAACAGAGCAGCCAAACCTTGTATCTCAAAGTCTACCAGTTTAACAATTTCTATTATGTCCGACCTTCATTTAATGTCACAATGACAAATATTAAATGGAATGGTATAGTATACAATGTGTTTCTGCCTTTAGACCCTGGTTTCACAGTACAATCTTCATTTATTCAATTTGTCTCAGTACAGTATGTACAATAAAATGTTTCATCCTTTACTTTAATGTGAATGAGCTCCTAATCATCTTAAGAATTTTAAATGTAGTGCATGCCTACTTGTGAGCTCAATACAACCACAGAACTTCTCTAATGCTGAATATACAGAAAAAAAAAATAGCATTTCTGACATGCAGACTTTTTTGAAAATAAACTATGGTACAAAGTCATTAGTTATGTGGGAACATCCCACATTATCACGCATTTCTGCAACGCTCGCTCTTCACATCACTTTTCACCATCACGCGCGCTAACCAATCAGATTGCTTCAAACGATCGCATTTATACTACGCTCGGCGCTAGCCCGTGTCTACACCATTACGCGCGCTAGCCAATCAATTCTTNCTCCAGCCACGGCCGCACTGCGGCCAGGCCACTCGCCTTTCACTAGCCTCTCTCCTTACCGGTGCGCGCCGCGCTACCTCACCGGTCAATCATCTCAGCAGCCACGGTCCTTTTCAGGGCCAACAAACTGTTCCGAAGAAGTGGGTTGTCATCGGAGTAATGACAAGACTACACAAACACGTTGACAAGAGCCCCACAGTTATATTAAGATTAAGTTGATTCATATTTGTTACTGAAACATTTCTAGAGACTAGGCTAACCTAGGCTTCAGTTCTCTAGGCCAGACTTGGGATAGACAGGCTATGCTTGGGCTTAACAGACATGCCCATGTAACACTGTACTCTCTCTGACTGATCTAAGAAATGCTTAGACTGTTTAGGCTAGTTGAAGCTAGGTTTGCATCAGCTAGGCCAACAAACTTTAAGCCATCCAGTCTGAGGTAAATTGGATTACCTGTATGAGTTTGAATATTTTGTGCTTCATTTCTTGAGCACATACTGCATGTGTCCCTTGTGTCATTCTGTGTTCAAAGAACTGCGTGGTAAACCTTGCTTATATCCTGTAGCAATGGACCTTAAACTAAGAAGGTTAAAATTAATTTCATATTGGCAGCACTGAGAATTTTAAATGGTGTACATGATACATAATTTGCAGTTCTATAAGTGAAACATTATGGGTACTTGATATTTACTGCTGTAAAATTAAGCCTTTTCAGAAATAAAGCTGATTTTCTACGAAAATTTAAATTTTTTATATGTCATAATTTTTATATTTTTTAATGTATAATCACATGTTTGTGACTAGACACAGGGTTTTGATTGGTAATTGGATTGAATGAATGCTTATAAATCTTAACTATGGGTAATTATAATGCTCTAATTCATGCACTCTACTTCTCACTACAGTACATGCTAAGTCTTCTATGGCTCTGGTAGCCAATGCCTGGTAACAGATCCCAACAATGCCTCTGCATATGTCCTTACTGTCTGGCAAATATCTCACAACTGGCTAACTTAACTGCTGACTCCAAACTAACTTGTGTCATGAGTACTGACTACTCATTGGCTCTTACTGGCTGCCAACTACCACTCACAATTAAAACTGTCCCTTGACTCAGCTGGTGGCCTCATTATATACCCCCAGCAGGGAACACTTAGAAGACACTGCCATCAACAATTCCTCCAATGTTGCATTACCTATTCATTGCTATGGAAACTTGTTTATCGAGTTGTTACCTGGCTACAACTGTCTCTTCTGGTTCCACTATTCTGGCCTTCTGCCATCATGTCACAGTATATTTATATTTATGGAGCTTTCTGTGCTTCAGAAAGTGTGTTTTGCAATTAATATGATATAACATTATTAATTAAACACTCCTTTGATTAGAGTTTTAGAAATGTTTTGACTAGAAAATCATTTTTCTTTTTCAGCTTTGAATTTAAAATTTACAATTGATAATGAGAGTGTGTGCATTGACCTTTACATAAAGAACAGCAAACATCTCTCACCTGAGTGGTCTATGTTTTATGACTGCTCATGGTACAATCAATCAATTGAAGGCAGATATGTATTGCTGGAATACATGGCGAAAGGGAAAGAGTATAAAGAAGCAAGGAAGTTCAGTTTCATAACTCCAGCTGCCAAAAAATTGGGTAAAATGTACAATATAATTAAATCTCACTAAAGGTAGCATGCTGTTGCACAATTGAGTCTAGATTGTCTCTCCACAAGAGAAGCAAAGGGAACAATACCAGAACATATTATAAGCCACAGCTGTTAAAATTTTGCATCAAAGGGTCATAATCGGAAGTTCACAGAGAAAATTTTCTCATAGTCACACAAGTAATTATGCTTCCATTCCTTTTAATTCCACCACTAATGATGAATTTGCAACATTCTGGCAACTAACTGTGAAGCACCCTGCCCAACCTACAAACTGCAGGACCATCAACTCTTAAAATTACTATATATCTATATAGAAACCATTTTAAGTTGATGGCCCTCCAATGAGACTTATGAAATTGCTGCATGTGGATAAAATTTTAGCTTAAATATGTATTCTGGATATAACTGTGTCCACATAACAGCAGGGCATGTAGAAAAATAAGGGCACCATATAGTCCATCAACAGTCTTTGGAACGACTTTACACTGGATTATTTTATTTTTGTCTTTTATGTCTTCTTCTTGGTGATAAATATCATTTTCTATGTTTCAATATCAAGTCATACTTTTCCACGCTTAAGACAGATGGATAATTAAGTAATATACCTCAGTTATAAGTTAAACTGTATTTTACTTTATTTAGGACCTTAAAAACAACTTATTTTGGTATTTTATATTCATTAAAAATTATTTCCATTAGATGTTTTGACTTGTACTGGTCATCTTCAGACAATAATAAAGTTCAGAAACACTAATGAATTGTATTTATGTTTATACTGTCTTGTGCTGAAAACGTGGATCTAGCTTACTATAAGTATGTAAGGCAAAATTGTCCCTGTGGTTAATAAATGAAACACTAGACATTGTATTGTTGTAATATGACTCAGTCATTAAATACATAATAATGGAGATCTTACAGAACGGTTGAAGGATGATCATACAGTTCTTGATAATGTTGCAGTTTTTAAGAAAAGAGAACCAATATGCAGTACTAAAAAAATGTGTAATATAAAGTTCTAAAAGTTGTTTTTAAATGTTTCAGTCAGTTTCTTATTCATTAATCCATATTTATTTTACCTTTTTCTTCCCCAGATCCGTGCAATAAATCCATAGAATCTCATGAAACACTGACATATCTGGATCTCACCTCTAGACCTCATCTTACATTACATATTCAGAAGTTGCCCACACATTTCAAAGTCCATGAATATGAGGTGAAGCAGTGTTCCTGCACTGAATGCAACTTCAAACAGAACTTTGAAGACTGTGTACATATAGAGACCATTGAGGCTGGATCAGAAGAAGATGATGAACTTCTGGTGCCAATTAACATAGCTGAGGAATCTGGAAATTTCTTCTACATTGTATATGCAAATGTGAAAATTCATGAGAACAGAAGTTACTATATATCTCGTACAGAAACATTGACAAGTATGCTCATATTCCTTATTGTGGCATGCTTATCCGTTGCCGCAAAACCAAGCTAAATCTCCTGATAGAGGCTTTTGCAGTGGCCCTCAGCTGCTAAAAGATGATACCATGAAATCATAAATAACACACTCAAAGCAGCAGTAGTTCATGTTACAAATCTGGTATGTGTCTGCTGCCAATAAAACATGAATTATGCTGTGTAAAATTAATTATATTATTAATTAATACTCTCAGTATAAACATGGTTTATAGCACAGTGATCTAACACAGACTGTAGCAAGGATATGCCTTATGCTTCCATTTTTAAAATATGAATCACATATTTTTATGTTACCAAATTAACACAGTATGTTACAACACAAAATTCTGAACCACATTACAGAATAAATAAGACTGGTAGGTTAACGAAAAAGCACGGTCCCCACTGAAAATTGGGAATCCACATTAGCTCCTTCATTTGCACTACTTCTCAAATTTTATATTGATGGTACTAAGAATCCATTGTGTTATCATGTGTGAGCCTATATCTTATTAAGCACCATCATGTCTCACAATGGTACAAAGTTGCTAATGTTGTATTTTAGCGTCCTGTTGCACTGATTTTCTTCCATGATATGTATACAGTTCCCGTCTTGTAGTGCACTCAGTTTCACCTGTTACTTCACGACATGTTTCGGCAACATAGTGCCATCATCAGGTGCCCTAATTACGCTAATCTATTTCATTGCTTGCCTTTATAGAATTATTTAAAAAGTGCGTATTTCAATTCAATTCTTTATTATTAATGTGCTGAGTCAACAGCCACAAGGCCAATTACAGACACAGCACAGTGCAGATGAATGAATTACATTATAGACAAACTTATTAAAAGTCAAATACAAATTACAAGTAAGTACTTGGAAGAAATAATAATGAATAAAAGTAAAAGTAAACAAACAAATAGCTGATAATTGTGACAGTAATAATAATTTCATTATCATGGAACTAAGTGTTATTACGAATTGAGGAATGAAACACATATTTAATTAAGAAATGAATAGTATAGATTTTCAGAGAATAATAATAATATACGTAATTCATTTTGTTTTACTGGGCATGCAAATAATAAAAATACTAACAGTTATACTATATTTAAAATTTGTTTGGGTAGAACATTCCTGGCTCCGAATACGTCAACATCCCTGCAGACAGCATTAGCAGATGCTGCTCATCTAGTAGAGGGACAATTTTTAAATAAGGAGCAAACATTGAACAATGCAAAATCTCTGATATACCGAGCAGGAACTCGGAGACCAACAATTTCCAGGTGAGAAGGGCAGAATTTAGAGCCAAAATAAACTTGAATAAGAAAGAGAGCATCAAGGCGATGTCTCCTAGTACATAAAGTATGTAATTTTAACTCCTCAAGAGCAAGAGAATAATTGTAATGAACTTGAGGAAAGAAACGTTTAAAACAAAGGGCCGCAAACCTCTGCTGGATGCGTTCCAGCTTGTTGGCATCAGTTGACGTAATCGAATTCCNAAATCGAATTACGTCAACTATAATAAATTTACACACACTAAAACTTGTTAAGATTATTCATCTTATGTGTCATAATTAAAACTTGCGTGTGATTCTTCCACTATGGGGGTCGTTTTTCTTATATTCTGTGTAAACCGTGTCTTGTGGTGTGTGTTCCCTTCTTAGCTGCGAGTGTTGTCAACACTATGTTGCCGAAACTTGTCGTGAAGTAACAGGCGAAATTGAGTGCACTACAAGACGGCAACTGTATACATATCATGGAACAAAGTTGCTAATTCAATCTATAGCTTCAGAATGCATCCCAATACTGTAAATTTGGGATTTTCATTTAAGCAACCAACCGTCTCTCCTATGCAGTCAACACATATGAAATTACTAAAAATATTAATGTTATTAGGTAACCCAAAGAATCATCATAGTCACTGGACATCTCACCATAAGTCAGAAGAATTCTCATCTTTATAACCTATCTCCAAAGATCAGTTCCATATTCTTTTCTCCCCATCTATGAAACAGGATATTGACATGAAATTTTCCTATCAAAATCTCTGTTTGTATGCCATGAGTCCCCATCTCAGAACCTTCTTATTTAAATCACTCTATCTGTAATAAGTGGACAGTGCAAACTAAGAAATCCCCTTTTCACTGTTGTGTTGCAAATAAATAATGTTTTGCTCCATGCCTCTAAATGATTTTCTACAGTCTAAGACTGAGATCTATAAAGCGTTAAATGAGGTTCAAAATTGATTATCTGAGATATTGCCTTTTTAAATATTGGACAAGTTGGTTTATGAACAATGGACGATACCCAGTGTGAGGTGAAATAGAATGCACCAAAATAACATAGGCATAATAGAAATTGTAATGGGTTTTATATTCTTTTACCTTGAAAGAGAACTACAGCATGTGATTTTACCATGGACTAACACATTATAGCAGTTTTAACATAATTTAATAAAATATGTGTAACATATTAAGACACCTGAAGATGGCCATTTGGGGCCGAAACATGTAGTGTCAAAGTTTAGAATGTTAAACTAAAATTAAAATTAAGTAGTGAATAGACAAGTGTTGCAGTATTGATGGACAATAAATACATGGACGTTAAATATCAACTTGTCAAAAATACCCTCTACTGTGGAGTTACTTAATGGTATACATTTACTTGCAACATTAATTTGACAGATTGTGACTAATTAATATGGACATTTCAGATGTGAACCTTAAGGGTATGTTAACGTGGCTGTCTGTAGGACTTGTTATGCTGCTGTGTTTCTTGATAATTGGATCTCTGCTTGGGACAAAATATGGTGCTAAACTGTTAGCAGAAGGTAAGACATGATTAGATTTCAATGTTAATTTCTAACCTTCAAGACTTCAAATGAAAATTTTACGCCTGGAATTATATGTTATATTAGAACTTAGAACTGATTATAATGTTGTGTCCAAAGGAGATCTTTCAGAAAATAAGATGAACTTACATGGTTACCAGATTTTGAATCAACTCATTATTTTTAAAATATAATTATATATTTATGTAAAATAATTGATTTTGTTATGTAACATTCTGGGCTGATGATGACATTTCTTAAGTACACGAATGCTGCAATGTTTTGTGTTTCTCAGAAGAACAGCCATAAACACAACAAAACAGATTTCACTTTGTCTGTGCTTATACACTCAATCCAAAATGGACACACACAAATGCACACATGCAAATTTAGAGCTTCTTCTCTGATCTGGCACTTGGCTGGTTATAGAATAAGGAAGTTGGTACTCTGTATACAAATAAAAGTTCTTAGTAAGCTACCCAGCAGATTATTGTGAGTTCTCTCTGGAGTTGAGCTTGAAGTAGAAGTTTTAGCATGTTCTACAGGTAATATACCATTGCTATGTTAAGCAAAGGAAAGTTCTGGCTGCCTCACAGTTAAATTTATGGAAACTGACAGACCTTACAGGGATATAACAGAAATATCTAAGATGACCTATAGTATTTACACACAACATGTTCAGGAAAACTATATCACTATTTGTCACTATACCTTTATGGTCTTACTGCTAAATATTATTGAAAAAAGATATTTTAAAGCAAATTTTAAATCATTTATTACCTCAGTTGGACAATAATTAAAGTTTCATTAATGGATGAAGTTATACAAGAACTCAAAATGCATCCAAAACTGTAGTATAAGAAGCCACATTATATTTATGTTGCATTATATTTGCAGATGTATCTGTTTAAGTGATCAAATGCTAAATGTATATTGAGTCCATGTGCTAAAGTTTTTTCTGGACTTAGGGTCACAGTTCTCAGTTCACAGTCATCACTGAAACTGGTAATATAGAAGATAGTTGAAGTTAATCAAGTTACTATATCTTCGTACACAGGAGTTCATAATCTGAGACGTCGTAGAGTTCTCCTGCTCCATGATCCAGTACACAGAATTCATGTGTATGTAGTGACCTGCCTGGCACAGTTTCTTGAACAGCATTGTAATATAGATGTTTCGCTTGACATAAGGGACATTCCTCACACAGAAAATAAGGTGAGAATAGCTTTATGTTTCGCATACTATTATTTTGCATCTCAATACAAATGTTGGGCACTAATAGAAAATTTTACAATAGAGTGTAGGCTGCCCAGAGATGTGGAATTTGAATATATGTTGGGAACCTCTGTAGATACATTTGAAAGTAGTCCAAGATTTTTAGACACGATAATTAACAATATTATTTACATAAATACTGCACAATTACACATGCAGCATTGTATCAGTCCTGTCTCAAAAATTCCCACTAAATAATCATAAACGTTATATGTGTTTCTACTTAAGGTCTCCCTTATTTAGTCTTAACTTTCTATAATTACATTCTCATTATCCCATAAATTCTCTGCATTTAAGACGTTTCTTCAGTTATAATGAAAAGCACAGGAACCTTAATTGATGCTGGTAAGGAGACTGGCCTAGAAGTAAATGCAGAGAAAACTAAGTATAACATGTGTTTGGAAAATGTTGCACAGTTCGGATATTTGGGAACGGCAGTAACAAACCAAGACTTGATTCAGAGGTAATTAAGAGGAGACTGAATTTGGGTAATAATTGTTACCATTCAATCCAGAATCTTTTGTCTTCTCAGCTGTTTTCTAAAAACATAAAAATCAAAACATACACAACTATAATTTTGACTATGGCTCTGTATGGGTGTGAAATTCTGACATTAAGAGAGGAACATAGATTGAAGGAATTTGAGAACAGGTTGCTGGAGAGAATATTTGGACTGAAGAGAGATGAAGCAACAGGAGATTAGAGAAAACTTCATAACGAGGAGCTTCATAATTTGTACTCTTCACAAAATATAATTAGATTGATCAAGTCAAGGAGGATGAGCTGGACAGGGCATGTAGCATGAATGGAGAAGAGGAAGAATGCATAGAGTATACTGGTGGGAAAGCCAGATGGAAAGAGACCACTGGGAAGACAATGGTATGTGTGGGTGGACAGTATTAAAATGTATCTTAAGATAGGATGCAATGGTATGGATCAGGTTCATCTGGCTCAGGATAGGGACAGTTGGAGGGCTCTTGTTGACATGTTAATAAAATTTTGGGTTCCATAAAATGCTGAGAAGTTCTTGAGTAGCTGCACAATTAACAGCTTCTCAAGAATGATTGAACTCCATGAAGTTCCCCAAAACAGTTACTACATTCTGAGTGAAAAACACATTGAAGAAGAACCCAAGAAAAATCCAATCTTGCTAATAAGAAACACGTTCATAGCATACCGAAGAAGTATTGAATTATTTATCAGTTTAACATTTTAAAATAAAAATTTAATTGTTTTTTTTTTCAGGATCCAATACTCTGGTACAATTCAGAAATATGTTCTGTCAACTTTGTTGCTATAATTTCTACTCCACCATGTAGTGATGTCCAAGAGGCTATATACAAGGATCTTCATATAGTTGGTCTGAATTTTATGAAGGAATTATTGCGGAGTAAAACACCAAAAACAGAAATATTTACTATCATACTGCCTTATTGCAATGAAACTGGCATTCCTGCTTTGGCAAGACATTTGAAACGTATCCGGCTTATGAAAGACTTTGACAGCATGATATCTTTAATCCATAGTGATATTTCTGATACACACTTCTCATGTGGACAACACTTTTGCATAAGAAAAGCTCTATTACGTAAAATTCATCACAACTTAAAAATTCAGGGAAATGATCTCAAGAGCTCTATTGCAGAAATGGAAAACATTATAAAGCAGAGCGGTAAAAATGGACATGTTTTGAATGGCCCTGTATATAAAGAGTTGAAGTCTGTAACAGAACCTGAAGAAAGACCACTGACTTTGGAAAAACCAGCGATTGAAATACGAAAGAATGGAGAGCTGCATGATGAAAACAATATAGCAAACACCAATGGCATGAATAAAATGGAATTCAATCTCTCAGATATTGATTTGAATGGACTGGAATATTCAGCTGAAGTAGCACCAAGAAACTCAAATTGTTATTCTCAGGCCTATGAATTCTTTTGTGATAATCTGAATCTTTAGGCTAAGCTCAGCATGTATGCAACACATTGGGAAGTCTCTGAAGTCAGTTATCCTCACTGTGATAGCATTCATTATGTCTTAAGGAAGCAAAGAATTAAGCAATACAATAACCCATATTATCATGCTTCATCACTCAAGATATATGCTTGCTCTTATCTACATACAGTATGGCCCAGTATAAATTGTTTTTAAATGTAAATGTAAACCTCAGCAAGTCATTTTTTAGTTTCCTTTCCTTCTTTAGAATGACATTTGATTAAATTTGGAATATTTAGAAAACTAGTCAGGTTGATTGAAAACATGTGTGAATGAAATTTAAATTAAAGCTCATGTAGGAGCTGTACCAAGTGACCAGCATGATAAATTTTAAAGCAGCAGTATGAAATAAAAATGGTATTCAAAGTGCATGTAAGAACAGAGAAAAATTGGAAATACACCACTCAATTTACAATCTTTTATTTCCCAACTTCCTTCCAAAATGTTAAAGACTAAAATGTAAAGCCACGTCTCTACCTGGTATTATCAATGAGTGGGTAACTTAATATTGCACCCTGAAGGTAAAAAAAATTAGGTTGTTTTAGGATAAAATGCTAAGAACATTGGACCATGGAGAGAGAAGCCAAAGGCAAAACACAACACACTTCACAACCGAAGGTTTTTTCTGTGGGGTGGGGTGGTGTGAGACTGAGTCAATTTGGTACATTAGCCACTAATTGGCCAATTTTACCAGTCCCAGATGATAAATGATTGTGGATCATTTGCTGGAATGAGAACTGGCAGGGGAAACTGAAGTACTTGGAAGAAATCTGCCCTAATGCTATTCTGTCCACCACAAACCCCACCTGACCTGACATGGGATTGAACCTGGGCCACCCTGGTGGGATGCTGGTGATTAACTGACTGAGCTATGGTGTGGCCCAACTGAGGACTCCACATTCTTCAAATATTATTTTTGGATGATTAAATTGAGAGAGTTAAAAGCACTGGGCCTATAGGATACTGAGAAGGATAAGAACTATGAATAAAATTTAAATCGGAAAACCATATGGAAAGAAATCGTTTGGAAGATGAAAGTGTAAACAGAGCAAAGGAGGATATGGAATAGACTGTAAGAATGTGTATGGATTGAGTTGGTCCAGATAGACAAGATTTATACTGAAAGTGACATGGCAATATAATGTACAGCTAAAGGACTACTTACAACTTCTCCAACATGGTATCTGTTAGTTATTGAATCTATAACCTTTACCTGAAACTTCTGTTTTTGTAATATTTGATAAAAGAAAATGTTAATTTGATTTGTTTCATTCTGGTCTGTCATGCTAACAATATCATAAAAGATAAAATAATTCCGTCCAGTGTGACTGGTGACGTTTTTCTTATTTCAATTCTTCATGCCCTTATGTGTTTCGGTCCTTAGAGACCATCATCAGTGGGACATCGATACAGTTTGGAAACCACTTACAATGGGTGTTCTGAATGCTGAAATATATACTACCACAGTCAATAAGTTTGTGGAATGGCCGCAAAGTGTCGTTGCAGTGCACTATAGCGGATAGATTGAGGCACGATATGATGCCCTGTCGGTTCATCTCTCATCACAAGAGGCAGTTGTGTGCAAACAGTGTAAGTAGAACTGCGACCCCTATTGTGAACTGTAGTTAAATGCAAATGTCGAAAATAAAAAATGTGGCAGTTTGAACAACGGGCAAACATCAAGTTCTGCCAAAAACTAGGCAAATCCTCTAGTGAAACATTTGGCATAGAAATAATTGGCTGTTGCTACACGACAACGCCCCTGCACATCGCTCTGTTCTTGTCCTCGAGGAACTGACAAGGCAACAGGTCACCGTTTTGCCACACCCTCCGTACTCACCTGATCTCGCACCATGCGATTTCTTTCTCTTTCACCGCTTGAGAGCAAAGCTACGTGGTCGTAGATTTCAGTCGTCCGAGGAGGTGGTCATTGCCACAAGAGAATTTCCTGCCAATATGTTTCAGCAATGTTTTTGGCAGCTATAGCAATGTTGACTGACTTGCATAGCGGCCAACAGCAACTATTTTGAGGGTCAATGTGGATCTGTATAAGTGTAAATGAATACCTTGTAATATAATGCGATGAAACCACATTCCACGAACTTAATGACTATTACATATACATACAATGTTGACAATGCATAAATGGATAGAAAATCCAAAGTCTTTACAACTACTGCGGCTGTCTTGCTATATTAATTTTTTTAACCTTTGTTATTTAAGTTAGAATTTATAAACCAAATAGATTTGTGTCCTCTCTCTTATCACCTCTCTTGACAGGGGCCGAACTTGTGCCGCCTGTCTTTCTTGAGAAGAAGGTTCTTTGAAGTCGTCCTGTGGTTGTTCATGGCACGCTGTGTTGTAAAAAGAACCTCAAGAGAGGTGATAAGAGAAAGGACACAAATCTATTTGGTTTATAAATTCTAACTTAAATAACAAAAGTTAAAAAAAATAATATAGCAACACGGCCACTGTAGTTGTAAAAACTTTGGATTTTATATCCATTTGTGTATTGTCAACATTGTATGTATATATATTTTAACATTCAGAACACCAATTGTAATAGTGGTTTCCACACTGTATCGATGTCACTCTGCTGATGGTCTCTAAGGACCGAAACATGTAAGGCAATGAAGAATTGAAATAAGAAAAACTTCACCGGTCACACTGGACGGAATTGTTTTATCTTGTATAAGAAAATGTTAAGTTTATCTTATATCTAAGAGGAAGGAGTCCACTGTACAAAAATAAAGCTGTACAACAATATATTCTTCTGAAATAAAACGCTTATCTGCTGACAGTAAACAATTTCAAGCAATATTAAAAATACTCTTTTACACAGATGATGAATTTTTATTACCTTTTGAGAGATTATACATCCATCTGTTGTAACCGCTCCACTATAGCTCACCAGTTTTAGGTATAATTAGAATCTTTAGTACAAGAATTAATTGCAAATAGCAGGTAATAGTCAAGCCAGTGGGACATAGTCACCTTCTTGTTTGCAGGAATTGACTTATTCCCAGCCTCACTGTTATACAGGAAGCACCCTTGTGGCTTTTTCTTAGAAATCTTGTCTGCGAGTAACAAAATGGCAAACATTGAGAATACGATCTCTGACAGTTCCAGCACATCGTAACTTAAAAGGGGGCGTGCAAGAGACCCATGCCAAGCGGGTTATCTGTCAGTGAGCTGTCAAAAACGATGTTAGGATTTTAAGGATCAAAGACCCACATTACAGCTAGCTGACTGGAGATCCAAAATTTGTGTGAATTCCTAGATTTTAAATTACCCAATCAGTGGAATTAAGGGGGAGTGACTTAGCTGAGGAATTGACGACCGAGGACCTCAGGGTTTTCAGAGAAGTCAGTCGCCGAATTCAGTTGTCTGCCAACTCATGAACTGTTTAGATGCAAATTTTGTATCACCGCTGTTCTGAACAAACCCTAAATTCAACAAGCCAAAGTGTAAACTATTCTGAGAACTTCTAGTGTACCAGGACTAAAGTTATATAAAGACTTATGTACAAGTATCCACAATATTAACTGTGTGCTACTAATAAACGATCACCACATTTAAGTGCCTAAGCGAGACCCTTATCAAATGCTTTGAAAAGAATCTTAACTTTACCAACAGCCGAACTAGTTACCTATCACCTTTACCTCCCTTTCCTAATTAAACCCATAATTATTGTAAGCCAACACCATTTGAGCTTACTGGCGCCCAACCGAAGAAGAACAAAGAAAATGAGTGAAGATCAATGTGTGGCAAGCTAAAGGGGTAAAGAAGGTGAGTGGCGGTTAGAAAGAGAAGTGGCTCACCAGCAGTGGGTAAACGACGATTATAAAGAAGTGGTGCCCAGCAACGCTGGGAGAATGGTGGATATAAAGAGGTGGCGCCCAGCAACGGTGGTCGAAGAACGGTTATACTGTGCACTCATCCAGTCCACCCTCCCAGCCTTTCATCAGTTTATCCATGTAACTCTCTTTTCCTCCACCTATCAATTCATTTATGCATAGCAGCTCAAAATAATTGAAGTGATCTCAAACAGTCATATTAACAGGAATACTTATATTAAAGTTCAGTAGCTGAAAGTACCAGAGACTAGACTAGAGACAGAGCAATAAAACCAACCTCCATGTAAGGCACTCCACTTATTCATTTCTCATATATAGTATAAATTGTAAGCACTTAGAAATTTATTTTTATTAGGCAATGTAACAGGTGGCTGGAAAAAAACTGTATGAGGAGCTTCATAACTTTTATGGTTCACAAAATATTAATAGGGAGATCAAATAAAGGAAGATGAAGTGAGCATGGCACATACCAAGAATGGAAGAGGTGAGTCAAATAAAAACTGTAATTTTTTTAAAATTTAATTTATTGAATGAAAGCGGTACTATCTTATATTAACTATATATATATAAACTATATTATTTTTCTACATTGTCTCCATTTCATTCAATACAGGCCCTCCAGCGTTTACAAAGTGTATGGATTTCTCTAGAAAAAAATTCTTGTGGTTGTCTGCGAAACCACTCATGCACTGCCTGCTGTACCTCTTCATTGTCATGTTGCAGGAGGACATCTCCAGTCAAAAGTCCACAACGCTTTGATCTGACTGCAGGTTTAAGATGGTTCTCCAAGAGATGTGAATATGAGGCACTGGTGATAGTGTTCCCCCGAGGCATAGTGTGCTCCAAGAGTACGCCTTCTTTGTCCCAAAAAAGAGTCAGCATAATCTTCCCTGCAGATGGCTGCATCCAGAACTTCTTGGGTTTTGGTGATCACTTTTTGCTTCAAGGTGCTGCAGAAGTTCTTCACAGGTGTCAACACATCGTCGTTTCAATTCTGGAGCCAGCTGCCATGGCACCTACCTTGCAGACACTTTGTGAAACTTGAGCACATCATGAATGACATGGTGTGCTGATCCATGACTCATGTTAAGAATTTCGGCTATTTCATCCACCGACACTTGGCGATTCTTTGTCACTGCTGCAATAGACTCAGGGGTCACAACTCTGTGCGCCTGACCCGGGCGAGGAGCGTCTGCCACAGACGTCACACCATTTCTGAATTTCCTACTCCACTTGTACACTTGCTGCTATGACAAGCATGCATCACCATACTGAACCTTCACCCCTCGATGAACTTAAATTGGTTTCACACATTCATTTATAAAAAAAAAAAAACGAATTACAGAATGTTGTTCTTTTGTGCATGTATGTACTGGAGCAGCCATCTTCAAACCAGCACTGTGATGGCGTTCTGTTTGTCTGCATTATATTGCCACCTATAGGATACTCTTTATAGCATTGGTAACATGTCTGCCAACTTATAGGACAATGGTGTGATATTTCAAATTTTTATCTCAGTTTTACAGTTTTCATTTGACTCACCTATGAATGTACAGAATTTATTTAGAAAACTGGAAGTGATGAGTCCATTTGTAAGACCTAGACATAAATGAGAGGATAAAATTAAATGTATTCCTAAAGAAACAAGATATGAGGATGTGAACTGGATTCATGTAGCTTAAAGACAGGAACCAGTGAAAGTCTTTTTGATTCATGAAAGGCAAGAAATTTCTCAACCAATTGAGCAATTATGGGTTTCTAAT